GGCCTTTTGTTTGATATATGCTAAGTGCTTTAATGATATCATCTGACTACTTGCACAGTACTTTTATGTTTATTTGAGTGTATTTACATGGAGATTATGGTCCATAAACACTATCAAATAGTGGTCAGGGTCAAAAGGCCCCAAAAGGCTCCAAAAAGCCCCGATTTCTAAGGCCATTTTTGGATTTTCCACATGTGTAGGGCCTTTTGGGGCCCTAGAATTAACTTGGGAGGGGGGGGGGGGGGGGGGGGGGTGTAACCAAAAAAAAACCCAAAAAAACCCAATCCCAGTATTACCTTTTTCAGGGTAGGAGTTCGGTTTTTTTGGGTTTTTTACAAATTTTTCATTTGAAGGAAATAAAATCAGGCACCTAGCAAAACAATTATCAGTACAATATCACTGTTGTGGTTCATCACTACAACATCACAATAGATATAATCGCTTAAATATCACCCAAAAGCAGTATTTTATTCACTGATGTGCTCAGAAGAAGTTGGCCATCCAGATATGATATCAGCCATATGTAATGCTCACTTCGATGGCCATGGCAAATTGAGTTAGTAGGGACGCAACTCACTGATGACCCCAACCCTGACCGCAACCGGTACAAGAGGAATAAAGCCTTTCTTCTCACCTTCACGATCTCTGTTTCCGTTTTCCTGATCATCCGCTTAACGAGAAACCATGCTTTATCTCCAACTGAAAGAATCTTGCAGTTACCATCAGCTGCATGATCACATGTGATATTAAGTGATATCTTCGCTTGTTTATGGCCCTGGAGTCGCTAAAATCTTGACTGGGATGGCATTCGATCTCGCCCTCCATTGAGGCAAACCTCAACAGCCGTATCATGATGCAGAGCATCACAATACACAGTTACTATTTTCGCCCATTCCTCTGATGAGTCAATATCCTCCACTTCCTCTTCTTCATCATCTGTTTCCGCTTCGTCACTCTCTGCTCCGTCAGAAGATGGTTGGAAAACCTCTCCTTCAAAGCTATAGTGTTCTTTAAGGAGTTCTCTACCCTTGAGACTCTCATCTTCATAGCTTGTAACAATCTTGGGATTGAAGTATCTTTACCTCTAAATGGTTTCTGCTTTCGGATGCGGTATAACAAGCTTGTTGCGAGGGTGGGCAACTGTTACAGGGATCAAACTTTTGCCGAGTGCATCAAGCTCGAGGGAACGCGAACGGTTTGATTTGCCCATGCCAACCAACATATCCTTAGAACACAGATTAGTTCTAATGCCTGCATGGAGGCCTATGCGCAGGAAAGCATAAAGTTTGCTCGCAGGCATCGGATGTAAACAGCCAGGGCATAAAGTGTTGATAACTGTTGTCAGCTGTTACACTGAGAATGTACAGCATCAGACCCTCTACTGTAATAATCGCATCGTCAAAATTTTTACAAGTAGGCAGGTGGTCTTTCAATGGTTGTGTGAAGCTTAGGTGGCCCAAGGCGTCACCGTTGGATAGAAGCTGGGTGGAAGCCCTGGTCTGATGTGAGGCTCCCAGAACTTTGAAAACGGGTATCCTGCTGGTGCCCTCTTCCAGACACTCATCGGACAGCATGATGAAAGCTACTACCTCCGCGGACCGCGTGCTGAAGACTGGATACTGGACAGGGGGTCCAGGCTAAAGGCAGGACGATCGACGGGAGACATTGAGCCCCAGAAGTTCAATAATTTGATCTATTGACTCCTTAACTCTTGGTCTACAAGAGGCTTTGAGACTCGTAAATCTTTACTGTGGATTGCACAGTTGCTAAAGAGGTGTTGGCTGTTTATCTGTTCAACCTAGTCTACTATGACCCAGCTAGACTGGACCACACTCTGGTAGTCAGGATACGGCTCCCTATGCCCGGGGTACCGGGTAACGAGGTAGTCAGGGGAAGGGTTAGTCCCCGCTAAAGTGTAGCTCTGTTCTCACTCTAACCTCCTTATGCTTTGGGATAAAATCGGAAAGTCCCACACTGGAGCAGGTGGCGATTGGGTAAGGATTACAACTGATGCTGTTGGGTAGAAAAAGGAAGTGTCACATTTGTCTTGTATAGCATATGTTCGTGCAATTACATGCTCAAGATACCCAAGATATTAATATGGTGAGAGTTAAAGATGGCTATTGTTCAAGCGGATGCCCTTAACCTTTTAGTGGCGCAAGAGTTAAGAACACAATCCACTGCCAATGTGCAGGGGACTGCACAGGATTGTGAGCCAACTGAAAAGTCAAGATGAAGTTTATCAACAGCTTAAGGGTTAAAGCCCCTTATTTTTCTAGTGGAAGTGGTTGCCGGGGTAATTACGCTGCTATTACAGAAGCTGATGACTCGGTCTCCACATCACGACAACCTATTTCTACAGAAAGTCAAACAAGAAAACATCAAAAAAATATGAACATCAATTGTATTGTATCATGTAAAAGGACTGCTAAGGTTAGCACATTTAACATAAGAACAGCCAGAGAACAGCACAAACGCATCGAACTTTGAGAACTATTTTCTCGAAGCAAGCTGCACATCCTTGGCCTGCAAGAATCGAACATCGGGTAGTGCATGCTGATTGCTGAGAATACCAGAATAGAAAAGATGAACAAAGGGATTCATCCAGTGATATCATCTGCGTGGAGAAACGCAGCTGGCGCTTCTAATGGGAGAGTAGGAATCATCTTGACGAGGACAGCAGCGCATATGAGGCTATAAGTCTTATAAAGTTATAAAATCTTACAGCGCAAGGATCCTCACCATGTCTCTTAATGGGAAGCCCAGGCTCACTGTCATCACATGCTACAGTCCTACAGAAGCATCATCTGATGAGGAGGCATAAAATCTTTTTTGTCTAAAACCAAGCATCTTACAGTTAATTTAGTAGGAGAGGAGCCACACACAATAATTTCTAAGGACGGACATGCCTTAGAAGAAGTTGAGGATTTTAGTACAACGGAGCACGACTTTAGGTTACGCAAGGCCAAGGCATGGGCTGCCTACCACAAAATGTAGGCTATATGGAGGTCCAATTTGCGCCGAGATTTAAAGATCCGTCTGTTCAAGCTATGGTTGAATCAATCTTCCTGTATGGAACAAAAACGTGGACAATAACAGAATCTTTGAAGAAAAGAATAGACGGATGTTACAGTAGAATGCTTCGGATGGCCCTAAACGTGGACTGGAGAGGACATCGCACCAACAAGGAGGTCTTTGGATCACTCCCAAGAGTTATTTCGAAGATACAGGCCAGAAGAATGAGGTTGGCTGGGCACATCCAGCGACATGATGACCTGGCAGCACACCAACTTCTCCTTTGGGAACCTAGGGAGGGGTAAACCACCGCTCACCTTCGTCGATAACCTAATAAGTGACACTGGACTCAAGAACACTGGTGACTGGGGAGATTAAGGAGCTTATGGCGGACAGAAAGCTTTGGAGACACATCATCGAGACTCGGACTCTGAAGCCGTCAAGTAATTTAAGTCATGTGCTTTGACTTGCCCTTGACCTTCGTCATAGCCTCCTTTCATGACAGGAGAACACATTTGCCACGTTTGGCACATTTCCAATTTGTGCATTCATATGGATTATATCTCGATGAACGAGACATCCTGTTTGCTATCGTGATAACATACTAGCAATATAAACACACTTATATACTATGTAAACTATCTATTAAGTTAAGACATGAGAACAACACGTAGGTAAGACTCAGTGGGAAATAATTCACATTCAATACAATTAATGAAATGGCTAGAATTTTGTTTAAATTTTGTTTAAAAAACCCAAAAAAACCCAAAAAAACCCAATCCCAGTATTACCTTTTCTTGGGTAGGAGTTGGGTTTTTTTGGGTTACACCCCCCCTAACTTAAATTTCATCAAGTTTGATATATGCTAAGTGCTTTAATGATATTATCTGACTACTTGCACAGTACTTTTATGTTTATTTGAGTGTATTTACATGGAGATTATGGTCCATAAACACTATCAATTAGTGGTCAGGGTCAAAAAAGCCCCAAAAGGCCCCAAAAAGCCCCGATTTCTAGGGCCCTTTTCGGATTTTCGATGCGTCTAGGGCCTTTTAGGGCGTTGGCCCCCCCCCCAGTATGGTAATATAATAAATAAATTTGCAGTTACAGTATGACTTACTGACTGACTTAAGTCGGCTTCTTGGTCCGAGCAGCTACAATTCCTCGCCACACGTCGCGGTCAAGCATAACAGATCTTATCTCTTCAACACAGGAAAGGCTGGTGTCCTTCTTTAGCATGTCCAGAAACGTAAGGTGGGGCCTCCCCGGTCTCCTGTATCCATGCTGAGGGTCCCAGAACAGAAGTTGGTTTGCCAGAAGGTCGTCATGCCTGGCTACATGTCCAGACAGTCTCATTCTTCTGGAGGCTATCATCGCTGATGGCTTGGGGATGTTGCCGTATAAATCACTGTCCTGTTGATGATTTGTGGCCAACGTATGTTCAAGGCCATCCGGAGCATTCTAGTGTAGCATCCATTGATCCGCTTAGTCATGGACTGGCTTATCGTCCAAGCTTCAGAGCCGTACAAGAGTACGGACTCAACCGTTGCTCTAAAGACACGGATCTTTAAGTCCCTGCGCATTCCAGACTTCCAGGTTGTCTTTAACTGATGACAGGCCCCCCATGCCTTTGCTTTCCTAACATCAAAGTCCTTCTCCGCACTCATTATTCTGCTTCCAAGGTAGACAAAGTCATCAACTTGTACAGTATGGTACAGTATGGTAATATAATTATTATAATTATAATTATAAAACTACAAATCTCATAACACTATGATAATACATAACATTCACAAAAGAATAGTTACAAAGAGCTTACAAACATTAACATAAACATTAAACGTAAAAAATATCCAAAATGAGGAATGTCTAAAAAACTTTTAAACATCGATACAAGAGACTTCAACCATGAATCACGTTGGCACTTCTCATTTTAGGTATCATCATACAAATTATATGATTATTATATGATTATATATTCAATAAATATTATATTAAAAATCTGTACCTCAGAGTTAAAAATAAACTCACAATCCATGAAAAAATACTGACAGTTGACCTAATTATCTGAAAAAGTATCAGATACCTCGAACGAAATGATATAAAAAACAATAGATTGTTTCAATAAATCCACACCATAACAATTGCAGCATATCATCACGTGGTGCCACCATTATAGATTCCTGCCAATACCAGAAGTGCACCCATCTGCAACACCATTATCCCAGCTTTCTTCCATAAGCTTCTGACTCTCTGCTGCTGTAAGGGCAATCTCCCACATACTCATCTCGTAGTTGTGGTCTTTACCTGATATCCTCCCACTGTATCCAATAGATATGGGAGCCCTGGAATAGTGATAATGTCTTGTTAACAACATGTAATGGATTGTTTCCAGCATGGATTTACGATTAAGAGTGTTTACTTTTTAAATAAGTTACAATGTTCAGAATTAGACCATCTTGACTTGTAAAACGTGCAGTAAAGCGTATCACCTACTGTATAAAACATGATACTATGCTGCTAAATAGAAAATAGAGACAGCAATGTGGATGATAGATAAGTACAATGAACATTTAATGACATTAGAAAAACTTACTTTTGAAAAGGCTTGTAAGTCTTAAGCTTGGCGTGCATATCTAACGGGTTGAGGACTTCATTAACGTTTCGTTGCCACTTCACAAGGGCAACATACCAGTCACCATAGAAACACGGAAGGCATTTCAGACAGTGGTCTCCAGAAATAGGACATAATATTACACACAGCATAGCTTGAGGAAAAAGACCAGGAAAACAGAACGTACACAAGCACCCTCCAGTTGATGGGGATTTCTTTTGAATCTTCGTCAGATCCTCGCACCATTGGGACCACTTATTTTGGGTTATTCCTCTAGCTCTCAATTCATCTGGTATGTAATTCTTACAATCGGGGTCAAGTCCAGTGGTTTCCCAAGGACAGCAAGAAATCTTTTCAAAGTCTATGACAAGCCTGTTCCCAATCTTCTTAGCTTTGTCTAGCCTGAGCCCTCCAGACGTAACACTCGATACTACAGCGCTACTCTCATCCTGCCACGCATAGCTGAGTGGCTGTTTGATTGTCACTTCAGGATTGTAATATTGGATATTAGGATCAGGATTGAAATATTGGGTATTAGATACAACCTCATAGGGTGGTGGTGCTGGTAGTTCAGATTCATCCATTTGGGGAACCTACAAAGGAATTACGAACATGATATAAACGTAATCTTGCTGACATGTATTGTGAATAAGAGATAGGCTTTGCAATATGACATTGTTTCATTGTTTATTATCGATTTTACAGTTTGGTTGCCACACCCTCTTCCCTTCTAATTCCCATTCATTTCAGTGAAACATCTTTATTTAAAATAATAAACTAGTCTAAAAACTATAAAATGAAAGTTGTATCTAAATGAAATTGTTACTAATTGGTATCAAATATCATGTACATGATATATTATATAATAAACATTGTACTGGAAGCACTCATAAAAAGTCAACATATGAGTCACAAAACCGCTGGTCACCAGGGGTTGAAGAACAGTGATACATTCCGAGAGTTTCAGAAAAGCTCCTTTCAAACTAAATCTCTAAATTCACAATTGCAATGATATCATTGAAATCTTACTATTTCAATGATATCATTGTGACATTATCATTATGTGTATTATCTATTTGTTTAAATTGTCTGACTCCCCACATCCAGAAAATTTTATATTTACTCCCAGATGCGTTTTTTTCTAAATTCTGTGGCCTGCTTGCTTCGCTCGCAAATTTTGAATTTTGTAAAGGCATAAAAGCCATGCCATGGAAGCAATTTGGTTATAGAGGTCTATTTGAAACGCTATTTCCAATGATTTTGATTTTGAACGAACAATTTTGGAATTATTAATTTACATGGCATTGTACGTGCATAGTAACACGTGTTAATTTTATACTGGTTGATCCAGGATGTTAAATCTGCTTTAGTTTTACAGCTTCTCGTGAGGCTCACTTGTGATCGTGCATTATTGGTCTTACGTGATAGGTCATTATCAGAACGGCATGCCTTCTGACTCACCATCTAACGCCACCTCAGCTGAAGGACTGGCCCTCAAGTCGGGGAAGGCCAGCTCCAATGTTGATATTGAGCACAAATCAGAAACCAAGTCTTGTAAATAGATAAATTTCAGAATATTTCACTGTGTTCCAAAACTGACAGGATGTTCCTCTTTGATTTTTATACAATCGAAACATTTTCTTCAAAAATTTCCTCAATTAATTTGTCTTTATTCCAAAAAATATTTCGAAATTTAGGAGTAACTTCTCAAAAATTTCCTCTTTTTCCTCCCGTTTTTGAATGTCTGGCAAGATGGCGTGTTTCTGGATGTGGGTCTGACTCTGTCTAAATTATTCTTTTCGGGGGATTTTATTGTGTTGATTATCATAGCAACTTAGCAAGCTGTAGTAGTCTGAACTCTTGTCAACATGGTACCCTGGGCAAATCCTATACATTTTATATCTGTATAGAAAGTGAAACTTATTATAGTTGGTAAATAACACATAATTTACTTCGATAATCTCAGTGACATTATCAAAGTAAATTATGAAGGTCATCAGAGCAAGACCATGCTAATTATCTATCATAACCTACTGAATAAACTTTACAACTGTGGTATAAAAATGCTATTTTATCTCGAATAACATAATTTACATACTATATATAATAATATACATACTGCATAATAAAAATTGAATTTTTACAACTATTTTACAATTACATCAAAAATCTGCATCTAAAAGTTAAAAGATAATAAAATCTTTTCTGCCTGTATACATTATATAATTACAACCTCACAATAACATCAAAAATTCGTGTCTAAACTAAATTATATACATTAAATTATCGAAATCTTATTTTTCAAATATTTTAATCATGATTTAAAGGCAAACAGGGACGACTATTTTTTCCCTATGCTGGATATTCATTCATTTTAAGACTACTGAATTAATTTCAACTTCTAATTTTGTTTCACTCGATATTATCATGATTACAATAATCTTCCTCTTCCAGATGTACACCCGTCATTAACCCCATTGTCCCAGCTTTCACTAATAAGTTTCTGACTTTCAGCGGCAGTTAGAGCTATCTCCAGCATACTCATTTCATAGTTTTCATCTTTTCCAGCAATCCTGTCTTTGTATGCTATCGACTTAGGAGCCCTGGAGGAAAATTTATATCTTTATTATCAACTTAATAACACCAGAATGTGTGTGTGTCTGTGTGTCTGTGTGTCTGTGTGTAATTTCCGAACAGTTATACAAAAAAAACGGTAATAGTTACGGGACTGGTTTTTTCGGTATAGTGCTGACAAAACTCTGACGAAGCCCATAAGCAAATTTTATAAAAATCGGCCGGTGGTAAGTGGTTTAATTGATGATTTTGTTCCAGAAATGTGACATAAATGGATGGGAGAGAGAACGAGGAGGATAACATGTACCGTAATTAGTTTAGCCCCACGCGACGTAATACTATAAGCTTAGAGCTCACTCTTGCGGCCGCTTTGTTTCAACTGTAGGGAGATTTCATACTTTCAGCGTTATGCGTGATATCAAATATATAATGCGGTTGTATACTTTTACATTGCAACTGTGACAGTAAAGTCCCGGCCGAAGGCACGGGTTACACTAGTATATAATAAAGATATAATATATCTTGCATATAATATGCAATTTTTACCAATTTTGAAATTTACTTAATTTCTGAGGATACACTTTGATAGTACGGATATCAAAATTTTAGAATAATTATTAAACAAGAAATGCGGCCGCTTTTCTTTTGTGGATGGCCGCTCAATTTCCTGATCCGTGATGTCGTATTTTATCATATTCCATACAACCTGGGGACCCCATGCTTTACTGTTTATACTTTGTAAGCATGCAGATATGGCGGAGTGATAGGCTGAGTGATAGGCCGAGTGCCCCCAGTTAATTCCATTTTTTTTATTATTTGAAAATTCAATTATTTATTATATATATAAATCAAGCGTTACATTTGAGCCATGCAAAATTACAATGACATATTTTGATATACTAATTGATAAATGGAACTGCAATATAAGTTGCTTAATGTTTGGCCGGATGACAACTAACTAAAAGAGAAAAATAAACTTGATTACATAATAATTAATTCGGCTGAACCAACACATAGCAAGAGCCACATTAACGTTGGGGCCGTTATATACATTTATATGTAACACTAACTATATGTTTATTATTTAAGCAACCTAATATGACACGGATCTGTGCAAAATGGTAATACTATAATACTTACTCGAAATAATATGCTATCAATTAGTGCCTAGCTAGTTGGATACGTACATGGTGAAATTAACGATTAACTTATCAGTTCAGCGTTGCGCGCCAATACCAATTTAATTCAGATTTCAGAATATTGTGCAAAATAACTTTGCAGAGTGACAAACTCCGCAAAGTTATAACTAATAGGGCACGTACGCTCGCAGGCACGCACGCTTGCACGGTCACAAAGCTACCATATACAAAAAAACCTCGTTCGCTAAACCTTGTCCTTGACTGTTTTGTGCCTTCGGCACTTTGAGTCAGGGATCGGGAAAAATCCTCTATTTGGAATTTCTGGTATAAATGGTGAAAATCATCAGTCCCCCAGAATTAAATTTTTGCCATTATTTGCCAATTATGCAATAGTGAATATTATGAAAAAACGACAAACAATTTACAACTGCTTTTAAGGATGATTAAGCCACAAAAATTGTGTAGTGTCTTATTGTGACCGATCTTTTCCAAGTATTATATACTTATTTAAAGTATTTAAACGAAATTATTGCAGGATAATATTACTCACTTGTTGTGAGGCTTATATGTTTTGAGTTTAGCATGCATATCTTTCTTGTTGAGAACTTCATTGACTGTGCGTTGCCATTTGCCTATCCCAGCATGCCAGTCACCATAGAAGCAAGGAAGACATTTTAGACAATGATCACCGGACGTGGGACAAAAGACTGCACACAGAATGCTTTGAACCATAAGTCCAGGAAAGCAGAACAAACACAAGCAGCCGCTAATCGATGGGGATTTTTTCTGGACTTTCATCAATTCTTCACACCATTCAACCCATATACCTTGTGTTATTCCTTTAATCCTCAATTCATCTGGAACATAGTTTTTACAATCAGGATCAAGACCTGTGGTCTCCCAAGGACAGCAAGCATGTTTTTCAAAGTCTATGACAAGCCTGTCCCCAATTTTCTTAGCTTTGTCTAATCTTAATCCACCCGGTGTGATACTGGACACTACAACGCTACTTTCACCTTGCTCCGCATAGCCAAGTGGCTGTTTGATCGTCACCTCAGGATTGAAATATTGGGTATTTTCGTTATGTGTTGCATCATTGTAAGATGGCGGAGCAGATGGATCCATCCTGATAGAAATGTAGTGATCAAGAAAACAATATCTTCAATCTTACTTATCTATCCTCAATTTCATATGTAAAAAGTAATAATTAGTTGTTGATTTAGCATTTTTATCAAATTTAGCATAACTTTTCGTGAAAACCATGAGAGATACGCACCATTGGAATGTTTTTGATGCGATGGATTGAATGATTTTTTAAAAGCCTTTTGAACAGTATGAAGAAATAATAAGAACTTAAGGTCCCAAAATTTGATCCCCCAAGTGGTGTCAAAATCAAAAAAGAATAAATATTGTTTTCTCTTGACAGTACTACCAATTTTTGGTAAGACGGGTTCCTAGCTGCTTGTACCTGTAATTGGAGCATCGGTATTTGTTTATATTTGACCATTCCACGAAATGATTATTATAGACGGCCCCAACGTTAATGTGGCCCCCACGTTAATGTGGCTCTTGCTATGTGTTGGTTCAGCCGAATTAATTATTATGTAATCAAGTTTATTTTTCGTTTTAAGTTAGTATATCAAAATAATATGTCATTGTAATTTTGCATGGCTGAAATGTAACGCTTGATTTATATATATCATAATTAATTGAATTTTCAAATAAAAATAAATAAATACAGGGTGGGCCAAAAGTCAGTACCCATACGTTGGCCTTTATAGCTCAGTCACATAGAATTAAGATTCTAACATGTTCAACATATATTAATCAGTGAGGAAGGTCTGAAGCATCACCAAAACAAAGTGAGTAAGATAGA